GGTATTAAATGTTGCCCATTATAAGAACAAAATGTTTTTATTAAGTAAGATGATAAAGGGTTTTGATACATTGCAGAATAATTTAATGGAGTTACAACAATAGATATCTGACCTTTGAGATCTTTAATAATTTTATTAACCTCTACCAATTCTTGGTTTTTTAAAATGAAATATTTGTCCCTAATATTAGTTGAACTTACTATAAAATTATTAAGAATTAATTTTTTATAGTGTGATTCATTTGGATTTTCAGACATTATTTCATTTTTCAACATTGGATAATTTAAGGGGTCACATTTGGTATCAGTATTGACTTGTTCGATGATTCTGTTATATATATCTTGGAGTGGATACCTCAAGTTTTTGCAACTTTTTTTTAAAAATTGCAAGTAATTCTCATATTTGAATGCACTAAAGGTGTCTAATTCACCATGAAATAAAACAAAATCTGTCATATGTATTAAATTATGGACATTGTATCCCACGTACTCCTGTCCATACAAGCCAGAATATTCTTCAACAAATTTATACAACAAATTTTTTGCTAAAGAATTATGAGAGTAACATACTTCAGGATTAATTAGAAGTCGGACAGCACAGTGTAAGAGCATAAAGTGATTATAAAGATGATTTTTTAGTCTTCCTTTTAAAACTATAGGCCCAAAATAAAGGAGAAAAGATCTGAATTCTGCAGCCTTCCAGAATTCAACCTCCTCTAAAGATCTTGGTAGTCTAGAAAATTCTGAAGGCACGAAAGGTTTTAAATTGATTAGTTCAGCTGAAACTTCATCAGAATTTGATAAATGAACTGATTTATTACCTTTAGTCCAAAATGTAAGCAATTTTTTAGTTACTCCTAGGCAAATATTATGCATATAATCTAAAACAACTGTTTTAGATATATCAATAGGTAGATCTTCTAAAGGACTAGAATCTTTATGATAAAACTCGTCTTGTTTGCTTCTGAACATTTCATCAGTGCGTAAGTTTGCATTCATGTCCAAGTATGCCATGCGGTTATTGGTAAATGTACCTTCAACTGTACATGAACTACATCCATGATAGGCGTTATGACCTTTCACGTTTAATAAAAAGGCTTTAGCAGGGGTATCACAAACTATATGTTTGATGATAAATTTAAAATTTTTATTGCCAACAGTTAATCCATTTTTAATGATTTCATTGATTTCTATAATGAAAGTATTCATTAAATCAAAACTTGAATTAGGTTTTTTGTACTTTCCATGGTATATTCCAACTGGAAGAACAAATTTTGATAGATGAGGTATATTTACAACAGATATTAGAATAGGCCAAAAACTTGATTTGGAGGAAGATGTCAAAGGAACACCATCAACATTAATTCCTAACTCAATTACAATATTACTATTAAAACATTTCATATGTACACCTAACATTTTACATAACATAAACTTGACACCAATGTGAATGTAACTTCCAGGAGGAACACTTACAATAGTATGTTCTTTTGCTGTAGGAGTGTGTAATAAGGTTCTAGCATCTTTTGGTAGATTTAAATTTTCAGACCTCAAAATATTTAAAAGAGAGTTGGTACAATTATGTGATACGTTAAACTTAGCTACCCATTTTTGAAGTTTTGTATTCAATGTTTCTGTTTGTACACTTGAATTTCTACTAATATTTATTTCACATTGATAATTACCAGTAAGTGATGTTTCCACCTCTGTATTACTTGCAACCAAACCACAAGGTAAATTAATTGATTCTGTTACTATAGTATCCTTATGACTGGAAATAATTTTGTTTGTCAGTACAATTTCCTGATCATTTTGTTCTTGGCATTTTTCTGAAAACGTCATAACCTGATTGGCAACATCAATTTTTGTACGTCTTAAGAAATATTTTCTAGATAGGAGTTCACAATTTTTTCTTTTTCGATTCTGAAGAATTCAAAAAATGTAAACAAAACATATAATAAAAAAATCATCCTAGTAAATTCAATATTTTCTCCTGATTTGATACTATAACTAATGGAGTGAGAAAAATTTATTTGATTTATATATTTCAATGTATTTTATATATTAAATAATATTTGTTTTAATTAATGACCGTATTTAACCATTCTTCATTAGGGTTTTTATAATAGACACACATTCTATTTACTGTTATACCAAAATACAACATATAAATAAATAAAACCATTTAGACCTCTTTAGTTTATTATTTATTTAACTTGTATATTTATACACATAGTAACTAAAATTATAAAAACTATGTCACCGTTCATTATCAAAATTAAAAAAAAAACTGTTCAAACAGAATTTTCTAAAAAAGTGTCTATAATGATAATTATTTTTTTTATTTACATGATTAACTTTTACTTAATTTAAATATTCATTACTGTTGATTTTTTTTTTTTTCTCGTTCAAAGCGCTGTTCAGCATGGCGGAACCATTCCTTAACTTCTTTTTCAAAATCTATTTCTTTTGCATTAAATTGTAATAAAGCTGTATCTAAAAATGTTATACAATAAGATCAATTAATAATACTAAACTTT